TGAACTTTACTCACACACACACACACACACACGCATGCACACATGCGTGCACGTGCACACGAACACACATGCATGCACACACACACGAATGCACACACACTGGAGCATGTGCGCGCGCGCGCGCACAAAGGCAGATGCAGTGAATCTGTCTGGGGTAGTATCAGGCTAACAAACCCTGCAAAGCACTTAACTGCCCTTTGCAGGACATCTTAGAAATAAATTTCTGCACTGACAAGCTTCTCAGTTTGAGCTCAGAGCTTCCTCAATATCTAGAGCTCGATCAATACTTTAAAATGAACAAATAAACTCTTCCCACCTAAAAGCTGATGGTTAGAAACTTACACTACCGAGAGAGTTACACAAGTAGACAAGGATGTCTACTGCAGTGTAATGTGAGAGAGCAAAAATGGGCAATTGACTCAAATGTCCATCACCAGGGGACTGGTCAGTGGACTATGCCTGAGGAAGCTCAGCATGATGGTTAAGGGCATAGGCCCAGAGCCAGAATGTTCGCCTCTGCATGTGGCTCTGCCATTTCCTAGCGAAAATCTGCACAAGCTCTCTAACCTTATTGTACTTCAGCTGCTATGTCTACAAAACAGGGCAACAAAAGACCCAGAATGCATGCGTCCTCTTTTACTGCCACACTGGATAGTAGAAACGCCACATTGTGAGAAAGGAAAGGTGGTCAGTCATGCAGTGCCACCTTGGACTGACAGAGAGAAGTCTGGAGCCATGGGAAAGAGAGAGATCTGTGTCTCACTGCCTTGTTGCAAGCAGTTAATGCATGCGCTCTGCTGTTAATAGCAAGTACTCAAATGTTTTCGATTGGAGCCAATCACACAGGACTGTTATGCAGACACAGCTCTCTATGTACTCACTCATCAGCTGCTATCTTAATTTGCTTTCTATTGCTGTAATAAACACCATAACCAAAGCAACTTGCGAAGGAAAGGGTTTATTTCACCTCACGGCTTCTCAGGAAGGTATCAAGGCCGGAACCCAAGGCAGAAACCTGGAGGCAGAAACTGATGCAGAGGCCATGGAGGGGTGCTGCTTTCTGGCGTATTACTCATAGCTTCCTCGTCCTGCTTTCTTACACAGGACTCTCTGCCCAGGGGTGCACTACCCACAGTGAGCGGGGCCCTCCCACCTCAATCATTAATCAGGAAAATGCCCAAGGACTTGCTCACCCACCAGTTTTACGAAGGTACTTCCTCAGTGGAGGCTCCTTCCTCCAAGGTAACTAGCTTGTGTCAAGCCGACAATACTAACCACCACTGATTCCAAACATACCTTCTAGGTCACAGAAAACAAGTGTTAGAATGCTGTGCTTGACAAAAGTTCAATTTTGTAAATGCATTTATAAGTCTATGTGCAAATTTGTGCAGAAAGCCTAGACAAACATACACCATACTGTTTATTGACACTTCTGGGGAGCTGCATAAATGGAATTCTCTCATTTTTTTCTTTATCCCACATTTTTCGCAAACCATTTAGTATTCTCAGAAAAAAAAGGCCTCATGTTTTAAGATGGCCAAGTGTAGGGACACACAGAATGAGAATTCTTCCTGCAGCTACGGACTCCTCACCTCAGTTCAAGGTGACACAGCATGACCATCTTCCCTTTCACAATGTGATATCTCCACTAGACAACATGCTAGTGAGAGAGGAGGTCCACATAGGTATATGCTCCTAAAGTCACTTCCTGCAGCATAGCCAAAGACAAGTTTCTACTTCAGATGTGACTGACTCAATGAATAAACCTGAGAAATCCAACTGTCATACAGGACGAGACCTGTGGGGTCGTCTAAGCAACCTCTTAACTGACAGGTTGAAACGAGGAAAGATGTTCCTGAGATAAGACCTATCAAGCACTTTTGAGGAATAAAATTTATTTCCCATTCAGAAGCCTAAAGATACATCCTCATAGATGAGAATTTTATTCTGAACCAATTAACTCAATAAAGCCGGGACTTTCCTACACTGCTGAGTGAGAATGTAAGTTAGTAAGCGATTTTGGAGAGGGAATTGACAATGTCCCTTAAAGATGCTGCTGCTAATAGTTTGTGAGTGGATAATTCTACTTCCTGATTGAAGCATTCACCTCAACTTAACTACCTAAGAATGAATACAGAATGGTCACAGCTCCAACCTGGAGGGATAAATAAATTCTGCTTAGTTCATGAATACATAATTGAAAAATGAATGTTTTGAATTAGAGCCACATATTACAACATGGATGGATTTCACAAATATAATATTGACTATAAAAACGAGTTGTAGAATAATACATACATTGAATACCATTGATATAAACTTTTACAACAGGAACAGCAGCATATGTTCGTTAAACACATATGCATACATATATGAATATATACATATATATATATACAGAGAAAGAAATGATTAAAGTATGAATAAAGGAAAGAGAATAACAAACATTACATCCAGGATAGTGTTCACTATGGAGGGAGGGAACTTTAATTATGAAAGAATAGACTCTATTGGTAACGTCTTTCTTAACCTGGTCATCAATTTATTCTTTATGCTGCTTAGAATGTGCAAATCATAAAAATAGCACAGTAATTTTAAAAATGCAACAAATCCCATGCTAAATGGAGAACTGATCATTTTTGGGTATAACAAGACACTGAGCGCAATGTAATAAATATAGATGTTGCATTCAAAATTAGAAGATTCCTCCTTAAGGCTTCTTCATTTTCCCGGGACTAGTTCCTCAGAAGGGAACCCACTAGAGACCTAGCAGTTGGACGTAGTCAGCTGGAGATCAGGAGATAATCTCTCTGCCACCCATCAGCTGAGGGAAGGACAGCAATTCTGTTAAACTCCGGGGTGTGCGTGTTTTAATACACAGCGCTGGAGCAGACTGCCTTGCAGAGTTTCGTTTTCACATGACTGCTTCCTTCAAGTCCTTTTGTTGTTGTTTGTCTGCTTGGTTAATTGGTTAGTTAGCAGCAAACAGCTAAACCCACCCCTGTACAATGCTCAAGGGTCCCCTACATCAAAATATTCACATTTATTCATAGCAGCATTCCTCAAGCCTTTAACATGATTTATGTGCACTGTCACTCTCTAAGAGGAAAATTCAGTGAAAAAGAATTTCCAAAACATTGCTGTATCCACCACACACACACTTTAAAACAGAACCTATTAATATTCTCCTAAAACTGTTGCCCTAGAAAGATTTTCTTACCACTTTAGCTGTCAGTGTTTGGAATCCTTTGGAAGGACTAGTAAGATGGCTCAGTGGTTAAGGACACCTGCTGCCAAGCCTAAGGACCTGAGTTTGATCCCTGGGACCACATGATGGAAAGAGTAGAACTGGCTTATACAAGTTGTCCTCTGACCTCCACATGAGAGTTGTGTCACACGCCCTTTCTTTCACGTGCACATGAAATAAATTAAAATCTACTACTAGAAAGATAAAAAAGATTATGTTCATTTTGAAAAGCAGACTATGATTACATACTGCAACATCTACTGAGTGGGCTTTCTCTCAGTGAATGCCCTTGATCAGGCCTCACATGTATTATGGCAGATGGAACACCAGAAACTTCTGAGCATTTGCGATGGGAAGGGCTGTGTCCTAGATGTGTTCTTTTCATCTGGGTTTTGGGCCTATCCTAAGTTTGTTGCTTCAAGTCTGGCTCCTCTCCTTTAGGTGTCAGCAGAGCTGGAAGGTGTTTCTGGTGGGAGCTCAAAAGCCCTTAGCTAGGGCCTAATCCAGAAGGTACGAGTAAGTCTCTCCCTACGTGCCTTCACTCCATCAAGAGTTGGCAGGGATCAGCACTTCAAGGCAGAGAGACCTGGTCACCCAGGGAAGGAGTGGCTCCATCTTCCTTTAGGGACAGGACAGTCCCTTCAATGTCCAGCACTGAGATTCCTTGGACCCATCTCCCACCCAAACCTCAGAAGAAGAATCTGCTAAGGTTTGTGGCTTCCACCAGACTTCCTTGGAGGTGATTTACTCAGGGGGCCTTTAATTTAGAAACAAAGGTTTCATTGTAAAAGTATACACAGAGATTTTGAATGCCTTTGTTCTTCAGAACAATTGAAAGGAAAGCACAAGAAGTGTGTCCTCTTCCTCACAGCAAACTCCACGCTCTCAATAACAGCTAACAGAAGATGCTCCCAAGATCACTTCTCCCCAGCCCCAGACACCTCACCTGCTTCGAACCCGTGAGGTCTGTCCCTGTCTACCTATCAAGAGAAGGATAAATCCCATTTACCCATCCAGTCCCAGGCCCATGAACCAGGTTGGGGCACTCAGCCTGAGGCTAGGAGAGGCAGGGGGTGTAGAAGGAACTGGGGTGTTGGACTCCGGAGAAGTCACTCAAACTATGTTCTGGAGAGGTAAAGGCTGCCTCACCGTTCCAGGAGGCAGAGAGGGAGTCAGAAAGCACAGCAGGCAATGGGGGAGACTGCACCAGGGAAATGAAGGGGTCAGAAAGTCAGTACAGAGATGCTATGATCCCTTCGCCCGGATTACTTCAGGGAAGAACTCCTATGTCCTGTCTCCTGGCCAGAATACTCATTTGTTCAGAAAATTAAAGGTCCGGTATTGCCTCTCTTCTCTTTCCAGCAAAGGCTTTCCACACATACCCCTTCCCTCTCACCAGTAAATCTACCCTTAGACAAAAGCATGTCACTGAAAAAAATCTAAGATTAAATAAACACCCTGTTCCTATCAAAGAAACAAATCATGGACCTTCCTCTTATTCATCATTTAGACCGCAATTGCTCAAATTGGCTTGAGTTACCAGTCTTCCGTATCTTCTTTCTCCTTTATGAATCCAATCAGTGACTACTTCATTAGAAGCATTTATTTAATGCAAGTTTTCCCCCAAAGGCACATGCAGGCAGACCAGAACAGGCGTACAGACACCCCCTTAGACAGTGCTATCCCTGAAGCTTCCCTTCTTTCAGCCAGCTGAATGAGGGCGAGGCTTGGAAATCATTTCTCTATGGCCTACCTTCTGATTCCGTGAGGTCTGCGAAGCAGGCGGTAGCTGGAGGCTGGGAGGCCCCGGCTAAGCTGCCTCTGTGAATCAGCGAAGAAGTCCCTGAGACAGGGATGCCGACAGCTGCTGTGTGCACTCTCTCTCTGTCTCTTCCACCTCCCTGTCCTCCTCCTCCTCCTCCTCCTCCTCCTCCTCCTCCTCCTCCTCCTCCTCCTCCTCCTCCTCCTCCTCCTCCTCCTCCTCCTCCTCCTCCTCCTCCTCCTCCTCCCCCCCTCTCCGTGCTGCTCTGTGTTGCTATGCAATCATCACCAGGACTAACAGTGCCATTCTAACCTCAGGCAAAGATACCCTTGACTGGACAAATGCAGAGAGAGCAAGGACAGTTTTATGAAAGTACCAGAGCCGTGGCAGCTCTCGGAGATTTCAATTCATTAGAAGCAGAAGAGCAAAGCGGAAGAGCCTGAAAAGCAGAGGGAGAGAGGGGGAGAAGGAGGAGAGGCTTCCACTGGGAGGAGGAGACAAAAGAGCCCCGGAGATCAATAGGAGCTGCTGAGCTGAGCAAAGTGTCTGGCCCCCAACTTCCACATCTCCAGCCCAGAGCCAAAACCAACTTCGGAGCCAGCAGCTGGCAGGGGCCCCTCAGTAGTCAGTCCAGGATTCAATTTCTGTTCCGGGAGCTGAAACACTCTGCTCTAACAATTGTCATTGATACTCAAGGTACAGTCTGGGGCACAGCACAGTCTGCCAGTGACCTCTGAGCGCTTGGAGTCGTGTGTGAAACTCAACAAGTAAAGGAAAGAAAGGGGATTTTGAATGATCTGAGGAACACAGCTCCTCCCTGGCTCACCTCACTGACTGACTACCCCACTCTCTGTCACTGATTTCTTCCATGCCAGCTCTTACTCTCAATTGTTAGAGGTTTAAATTCTAAACACTCCAACAGGTCTGGATGCAGGATATCTGGATGCAGCAGCTCATGTAACACCTATGTGTTGAGAGAATGAACAATGAATGGATGGCTGGATAAAAGCAGTCAAAAACCCTCACCACCATCCTCCTACCCCAAAGGGCTCGAAGCCCTTGCCTCTGCAGGCCTTGGCAGAGACTCTGTCTTTCCTCTCTCTGCTTCTGAGAACTATACGGGAGAAGGGCACTGCTTTGGGTGTGACTGAGCCCACCCAGGACAGAAACTCCATATGCTCTGATGGTACTGGAACTTGAAGCAGAAAGTGCTCCTGGATTTGTGGGTTCTGGGACTGCTGTTCATATGTCTAAAGAACTGAGATTACTACAATGCCTATTATCATTATTATCATAATTATTATTATTTCAGACTTGCACTTCATTTCTTTTCAAGACAGGGTTTCTTTGTAGCTTTGGAGCCTGTCCTGGAACTCCCTCTGTAGACCAGGCTAGCCTCGAACTCACAGAGATCCGTCTGTCTCTCCAAGTGCTGGGATTAAAGGCATGTGCCACCAAATGTCCAGCTATTTGTGAGGTTTTTTTTTGTTTGAAACAGGATATTATGTATCCCAGGCTGACCTCAAACTTGCTAAGCAGTTATGGGTGACCTTGAATTTCTGATCCTTCTGCCTTCACCTCCTGGTGCTGCCATTATAGGCATGCAGCACTGTGCTGGTTTATGTTGAGGTAGGGGACAAATTCAGGGCCCTGTGTATGTTAGTCAACCATAACACCAACTGAACTCTATCCCAAGCCCTAGGAAAAATAGTTTAGAATAAGTTAAATTGAAAAATAGTAATTGCACATATTAGTGGGATGTACTTTGATGGTTTATTCTATATTTACCTTGTACAGCCAGCCACTCCAGCTAATTAACTTAGCATTTTTCTTGGTAAAAATGCTATAGCCTTTTAGCTGTTTGGGAAGAAGCTCATTATTATCGGTGGTCATATGGTACAATATTATCATTATGAATGTTTTAAATATGATCATTATTCAAGAGCCTCTGTTAGGAAAAAGTGTATGTGTGCGTGCATGCGTGCACATTTCAGGATGAGGTTTGAAAAACTAAAGTTGCTGGCTTCAGCAAATGTCTAGAAATAAGGCCTGATCTCTTCGAAACAAACAAAATGCGAACTAATCACCCTTCCCAGAAGTTTTTTAAAATATTTCTTTGTTTTTTAAATTTTTTATTTTATGTCTGTGAGTGGTTTGCTTACATATATGAATGTGCAACATGTGCATGTCTGTTGGCCATGGAAGCTGAGGAGGGTGTCAAACGCCCTGAAACTGGAGTTGCTAGGGACAGTTCTGAGCCACCATGGAAGAGCTGGGAACTGAATCTGGGCCCTTTGCAAGAGCAATAAGTGCCAGAGACACCAGGTCCCAGCCGGACACAAGAAAGGCCATTGGTTTCTGGGCTGGAGAGATGACTTGATTGATAGAGTGCTTGCCTCACAAATGTGAGGACCAGAGTTTGATTCCCCAAAAATGTGTAAAGGACACGGGGGCAAATGCAGTGTTGGGCAGCACAGACAGTGGGAATCCTAGAGCTTGCTGTCCAGCTAACCTGCCCACTTGGAAAAGTTCCAAGACAATGATACACCCTGTGTTAAATGAAAAGAAGAATGACCCTTGAAGTTTTCTTTAACCTCTACACCAAGACCCGTCCCCATCTCCTACACCCAAATACAAACATGCATGGGTTCACCCACATGAACACTGTGCTGGTTTGGTTTTTGTCATTGTTTATTTGGGTTTTGTCAACTTGGCCCAAGTGATCTGGGAAGGGGGACCATCAGTCAGTTAAGAAATTGCTTCCATGAGATTGACCTGTAGGTGAGTCTGCGGGACATTTTCTTAACCAAGGATTGATGTAGGAGGACCCAGCCCACTGTGAGCAATGCTATCTCTAGGAATGGGTTATATATTTTTTAAAAAGCAAGCTGAATGAGCTATGGAAACCAAACGAAGCCAATAAGCCACATTTTGTCTATAGTCTCTGCTTCAGTTTCTGCCTTGGCTTTTCTGATGAAGGATTGTAATCTCTAAGTCACATAAACCCTTCCCTTACCAAGTTGCTTTCTTTCTTGATCTCTTATGCTGCAATAGAAAGCAAACGAAGACAAAAACTACCACCACCACCACCAACAACAACTGACTGGGAATGACTCTGAAGATGTAGGTGATAAGTAGAAATAAGACCAGAGGGAACGTTCTAAGAATGGGCTTGAGCTGGCAGGGACATAGAGTAAAAATGCAGATACACAGGAACTACAGGGAGCCTGACTCACCGCTGACCCTTGGCACCACCTCATTAGCTCATCCCTCAAACCACAGCCAAGGTCTAGAAGGAGGAAGATGAGGGAGCCTGATGGGGGTACATGCTTACTTTGATGGCACTTGGACTTGCCCAGAACACAAGAAGCATTTGTAATGATCCTTTACATTTCTCTTTCCTGTTTCTAGAGCAAGAATCCAGGCTGCAGCTACAAAAATACAGCGCCTGTGTCAGTAAAAATAAACCCAGAGTTTATCTTGAGGGGTGCAACAAAATGCTTCTCAAAATTTCTTTCTCACAGACTAGGATAGCAGAAAGGATCTTTCTTCTCATTTCTTTAGATTAAGGCTTCTGAGGGTCAAAATGAGACGGAAAACATTAAGCCTCCAACAGCTGGTGTCTTGTTTTTCTCACTGCAGTGACAGAATTCTTGACAGAAGCAACTTACGGAAGGAAGGCAGCTGGGGACACAGCTCATCAAGAGGTACACGTACCCAAGTTCAACAAGCTAAATTCAGTCTGGAGACCCTGTTATATAACAGCTTCCTCCAATAGAAACATTTCAGCCTGTAGGGAAACTCTTTAAAGGTAAACAACTCAAAATAGCTCCAGGAAGTCCCTGAAACTGAACAGCAGAGCCAAGCTGCATAGACGACTCACAAACCAGACTCAGGCAAGCTGAGCTGCAAAGAAAACTGAGACCAGACCACCTGCCTGGAAGAAGCAGAAACCAGTTGAGTTGCCCAGAAGAGGTTTAGACCAACTGAGATGACACTATTCAACCTCTTGAGCTGCCTGCAGGCTATGCAGCGTGTTCCCAGGGTTCCCAGCTTTGTGAACTGTCACCCATTCTTGGGTGGGCTTTGGTGATGCATCTGGCTTTGAATCATTTCTTCTCCTGTAAGTGACCCCAGTAAAACACATTGGTTCAAGTTGGACTTTGGTGGTATCTGTACTTTGCTCTGTCCTGGAGTCCCTATCTGGGGTGGGTATCTCCTCCAGAAAAGTTTTGACACAACAGACCCACATGGTGGAAAGGGAGAACTGACTCCCTCAAACTGTCTTCTGACATCCACACATGTGCTGTAGCTTGTGTGTACCCATTTACAGAAAAGAGTTTATTTTGGTCCATAGATTAAGGATGTAGTCCATCACGGCAGGGGGTGTGAAGCAATTGATCCTATTGTATGTACCATCTACAGTTAACATTGATCTTCCCACGTCAATTAACCCCATTTAGAAACTCCCTCACAGACACATCCTAAATTTTGTCTCCTAGGTGACTCTCAATCCGGTTGACAATATTACCATCACATCTGGGAACACTGAAGATGTAATTATCTAATAGTAATTATTATTATAATAAATATTATTATTACTATTATTATTAAACATTTACTATGAGTTAGGTACAGCTCATGGTATTGTTCAAATAATCTTCACAGCAAATAGTTTGTATTAATTCTTCAATTTTATAGTACAAGTATTATGACACAGTAACATTAAGCAATAACCCAAGCAACCCCAAGGTCACATAACTAATAAATTATGAATCTAAGGCTTAACTTAGACCCCATTGGCCAATGCCTACATGATTAACCATGATGCTTATATGCTTTTATTTCCTCAACCAAGGCTTAATCTACTGTCAGGCCTAGTAAGTCACTGAGACAAATGTGGCAAGGGCAGATAACTTTCCAGGATAGCTTCTGTATCTTTCTTGCTTTCCCTGAAGATATCTTACCTAATCAAGATGTCTTTCTTTCTTTTGTAGGTTAGAGATACAAAGAACCTTAGGAATCATTCTTAGGAATTAAGGAGTGTCAAGTTGAGATGATCCTCCAAACATCTGGTTTATACTGTGATTGGAGTATAAAGGGGGAAACATTTTAAGTGACTTTTATATGAGGTAGA